TCTATATGCTGAACAGATACTCAGGAGACTGGGCTTCATGAGGAGGAATGAATGTGGTATCAGGATCAGAAGACAACTCATCAACAACCTGTGTTATACAGATGACACAACCTTGCTTGCTGAAACTGAAGAGAACCTGAAGCACTTTATGCAGAAAATCAAGGACAGTAGTCTTCAATATGGACTGAAGCTCAATAACAAGAAGACAAAGATTCTCATCACTGGGCCAAATGCAAATGGCAGCATCATGACATAGGGAGAAGAGACTGAGGTTGTTAACAATTACAGCTTGCTCAGCTCCACAATCAACACTCTTTTGATATCAGCAGTCAGAAAATCAAAGATGAATTGGACTGGAAAAATTTGCTGTCAGAGACTCTCCAGAGTACTGAAAAGCAAAGATGTCAGTCAGTCTAGAAACTAACATGTCTTGGATTCATGCCATGCTCCTTGCAATTACTTGTTATGCATCAGAGAGCTAGACAGTGACTAAGGATTACAGAAGAAGAATCAATGCATTTGAGTTGTGGTGGTGGAGAAGAATACTGAACACCCCATGGACCACCAAGAGAATGAAAAGGTCTGTCTTGGAAAGGGTGAAATGAAGTTTGTCCTTGGAGGCTAAGATCTTGAAGCTCTGTCTCATATATTTTGGGTATGTGTCTAGGATGGACTGGTCCCTGGAGAAGGTTATCATGCTCAGAAGTGTGGCAGAAGAGCACAGGAGAGGAATACCCCAGATGAGATTAAATGACACAGTAACTGAGGTAATGAGGGTAAGTCTGTTGGAGTCCATGACACTGGTTTAGGACAGGGTAAGGTTCAGAGCTACTGTACATAGGGTCACTATGATTTGCAGGTGACTCGACAGCATATAAAAACAAACAACATATATTATTCTAATCACCAGAGAAGCAGCACTTTTGAGTTAGTAGCATAACTCCCTACTGACTATGCTTTATGGTCTGTAGGTAAGGAGTGTGACTGATAACTCATAGAGAAGTATTTAAAATTGAACAGCAACTCCACAGGAGAAAGATAGGTGATTTACTGTTTGATTTCTAGCTTCTGAAAATTTACTGCAGGGACACCTATGAGTTTATTATAACATGATTATAATATTTTTTCACATATATTTCACATGTGTATTTTCTGGTTTTGTTTGAGGCTTGGGTATAGAATGTTAGCTCACAATTGAATGTGAGCTGATTATATGTGGCCTCATATTTAAAAAAGAATTTGGGCCCTTGGGCCTGGTTTTAATTATTTTTTGTCAAACATTCTTCTAAGTGGTATTGCACTGGTCTGTCAGTTTGCTGTACAAAGATAACTTGTGGTTGCTGTGATGCTAAACACTGTGACACTGAAGTGTCAACTATGGTAATGGTTACCCAGGGTGGACAGTGTTTGGTGAAGCTATCAGATTTTAAACAGGCTTTGAAGCAGGAGTGGCATCCACTTCCGAAATAGCTTGCCTCCGGAAACTATGAACTTAGAGAAACGATGAAAGTTATATAAGTGTTCAAGTCTTTTATTCATAGGGTTGCTGTGAGTCATCTACTACTTGATGGCACTTAACAACAACATGTATTTCATAGAGCTCTGGTAACTTAGTGGTAAGGAGTTGCATTGGTAACCTTAAAGCATGTGCTCAGTGACAGAAAGATAAGTAATCTCCTCACAAGCAACAGCCTCTAAAAACGTTCTTGAAGATCAGCTTCAGACTCAATGATACATACCAAACACACACACACACACACACCAGAGATCATGAGGATGGCACAAGATAGGGCAAGGTTCAGATCTATTATTCAAAGGTTGCTATGAATCACAATTAACTCAAAGGTACATAACAACATTTAAATATATATACCAGAAATACAAGCTGGGTTTAGAAGAGTCATGGCACTAGAGACATTATCACCAATGTCAGATGGATCTTGGCAGAAAGCAAAGAGTACTGAGGGATATCTATTTGTGTTCCATTGACTATGCAAAGGTGTAGTGGAGCACACAAACTGTGGCTAACTCTGAGAAGAATGGAAATCTCAGAACACTTGATTCTGCTTATGCGAAACCTATACTTGGACCAGGAGAGAGTCATCAGAACAGAGCAAAGAAACACTGCATGTTTCAAAATCAGGAAACGAGTGAGTCGGGGATGCATCCTGTCTCCATATCTTTTCAGTCTACATACAGAACAGATCATTCAGGTTGGAGGATGATTCATCAACAACCAACATTAGGAAGATGACACAACTTTGCTTGCTGAAACTGAGCTACAGAAGGTCAAAGATTGTAGTTTTCAATATGGATTGAAGCTCAATATCAAGAAGACAAAGATTCTCACCATTGGGCCTATTGGTAGCACCATGATAAATGGAGAAGAGATTGAGGTTGTTAACAATTAAAGCTTGCTTCACTCCACAATCAATACTCATGGTGAATTGTACTGGGAAAATCTGATAGATATACATATATCATTGTTGTTATGTGCAATCGAGTCATCTGTGCCTAACAGCAACCCTACTTATAATAGCTCTGAAACCTGCTTTATCATGAGCCAGCCTCACTAATTGCAACACACCTAATCCCATTGCCCCAGGTATCATGGCAATACATCTCTTCTGGGGTCTTCCTCTCCTACATTGTCCCTCAACCCTTCCAAGCATGATATTCTTCTTCAAAAACTGGTCCCTCCTGGCCAAAGTATGTGAGATGGAGCTTTAAAATCCTTGTCTCCAAGAAGAAACTTGCTTTCATTCTCTCAAAGTTAGACCTATTTGACCTCGTGGTGGTCAATACTCTTCTCCAGTACCATAACTCAAAAGCATCAATTTTTCTTCTATCATCCTTAGTCATTGTCCAACTCTCTGACACATAGCAGGAAAGCATCAATTCTTTCTCTACCATCCTTAGTCATTGTCCATATCTCTGATGCATAGCAAATAATTGCAAAGGCCATGTGCTGGATCATGTGTATCTTAGTCTCTAGACTGACATCACTGCCCTTTAACACTCTGGAGAGGTTCCTGACAGCAGACTTCCCTAATGCAATTTATCTTTTGATTTTCTGATTGCTGGTACCAAGAGTTTTGTCTGTGTGTATATGTGTGTGTGTTTATATATATTATGTAGGTTATGTGTGTGTGTATATATGTATTTACACATACAGGCCTCAAGAATCGTTGGGATACCAACTGATATGTTTCAAATGACATACACAGCCCCGCATGTCCTCATGCAGGAATTTGAAGGACAGCTGCCTGGTCAACTGACTGGAAAAGATTCATATTTATTCACATTCCCAAGAAAGGTGATCAAACAGAATGTGGAAAACTATTGAAAAATATCATTAATATCACATAAAAGCAAAATAATGCTGAAGATTATTTAAAAATGGCTAGACTAGTAAATAGAAAACAGTCAGAAGTTCCAGCTGGATATAGAAGAGGCTATGGTACCCGAGGGATCCCCACGGATGTCAGATGGGTCCTGGCTGAAAGTAAAGAATACTAGAATATCTATTTGTGCTTTACTGAGAAGAGTCTTGAACATATCACAGACTGCCAAGAAAACAAATAGGTCTGTCTTGGAAAGGGTGAAACAAAGTTTCTCCTTGGAGGCTAGGATTCTGAAGCTCGGTCTCACATACTTTGGGCATGTGTCCAGGAAGGACCAATCCTTGGAGAAGGATATCATGCTCAGAAGGGTGGAGGGACACTGAAGGAGAGGAAGACCCCGGATGAGATGGATTGATACAGTAACTGAGGGGATGGAGGTTGATGTGTCAGAATTAGTGAGACTGGCTCAGGACAGGGCAGGCGTCAGAGCTGTTGCTGTACAAGGGTCACTATGGGTTGCAGGTGAGTTGATGGCACATAACAACAACAATTAACTATATATTTCTCCAAAACTGTACCATTTTACATTCTCATTAGCAATGTACGAGGGTTACATTTCTCCATATGCTCACAGTATTTATTATCATTTGCCTTTTTATTAAGGGCATTTTAATGGATATGAATTGCCACCTCATTGAAGTTTTAAATTGCATTTCCTTATTGAGTAATGATGATTGTCATCTGTTCATGTACCATATGCTTCTGTCTATGTTAAATAAAAAAACAACCTTCCACAGTGAAAATAATTTTTTTTTAAAATCATCATACTAGTTTGCCTCAGGGAGCTCTGGTGGCCTCATCTAATGTACAGATTTGTGCACATTACTTGTTCTCTTTTTGACACTGTTCATAAGAATAAAATAAGCATGGAAAAGAGAAAATGTTTCTCAAAGTCATATCATTTGTGTCCTAAGTGTTGTTGCAATATGACAAATACTAAATTTAATTCCTAATGTATTTTATTATTTAAAGAGAATTCCTAATATAGTTTATTAAGTTGTTAGGAAATCACAATATCTAATTCCAGAAAATCAATAATCTGAATGAAGCAATGTTATCGAAGTGATATTTCTCCTAAGTTAAACTTCTCCAAATTCTTGAGGAGCACTGATGTAAGTTTGAGGACTAAGGTGCACTTGATTCAGACCATGGGCTAATTCAATTACTTGCTAGGCAGCTAAGAGCAAAACAATGAATAAGGATGACAGAAGAAGAACTGATGTCTTTGAGTTATGGAGTTGGAGAAGAGTACTGACTATCCCATGGACTGTTAAAAGAACAGTTTTGTCTTGGAGAAGGAACAGCTAAACTGCTCCTGGGAGACTCTGGTGTTCTAGAAGTAAGTAACTATGCTGTAGTTCCAAAGGCATGCAGTTCACTCTGTGGGAGGAAGATCCACAATCTCCTCTCATAAAATTAAACTGCCTTTGAAAACCCAATGGATGGTCAGCTATGGGTCAGTTCCAATTTGAGAGTACACAGCAAAAACAAATCCAGAGAATCAATAATCTACATGAAACACTGCTATAAAACTGATACTTCTCCAAAAATATATCTTTTTTTTAAATGCAAAATTGGAAGTAATGAGCTATTTACCTTTACTGGGTCCTACTACAGATCTATCCAAATGTTCAGAATTGGAAAGCTCTGTTTCTGATTTCCTTTGCATCATTATTTGATTTTTAAACTTCATGGGTCCTGAGTAAAAGACTGTAAATTTTTGCTGAATATCAAGTCCAACTGCAAAAGAAAAAAAAAATTAAGCATGTTTTACTTGTATAAATCCATGAGACCATTTACTTACTTTTATATATCTTTGATTCTCATAACTACTTAAACTAAAAGTTACAGAGGTCCATGAAATTAAAAAATTTTTTAAAGGTTAACAAAATAACAAATACAAATCTATACACTTACCACCCTTATAACAACTTAAATCTAACTATCTTGAAAAAGAAAATATTTGGCATAAATATAGAGGTAATATTTCAATAATGTTATCTTGATTCATGCTGTTTTTTAACCATATCTTAGTATATCATATATCCTTTAAAGTTTATTTAGTATGGAAATATATTTTTATAATATTTCTATTCTTTCTATTTTAATATAAAGAAAATAATTTTGAAATGCTATTTCAAATTAATATTTTCATTACTTCAATTAACTTACCATATTCAGAACTAATTAGATTTATATTAAGATCTTCAGATTCTAGAATTCTCTTCACATGGATCTTTTTTGTCCAATTTCCAGCTTTTAGTAGAATAGAATCCCTGAAAAATCATCATGAATCATTCAAAACTTCCTCCAAATACTAAATAATACACTACGTTTTCCAGGGATGATTTTTCCTAAAATAGGTCTAAAAACAGCTTTTCCCAAATTCTGGAGAGAAACAGATTGTCAACGAGGTTTTATTAACCATAATTTTCTTAACTACATATTAACCCTACAGTTTATTCTCAGTTGCATTGACTCATTTTAGACCTAGATTATATAGTTGCCATCATTAACCCAAGAAATTTCTCTCAAATCACTATTTAAATTAGCTGTACATAAACTATATCTTTTTAGAATAACCTCATTTTGCAATTGGAACCAATTAGTTGTAATTAATAACAGCACAAGCAGAGACCAGTTTTATGATTGAGTGTAATTTATTTTCACTCAGATTATCAGAGCTGTCACTAAACTTAGTAGTTACAGGAGAACAAATATTTGTACAATTCTCTATAATTGTGTCATGGCTAGTTGGAGGAAGAACAGCTACTAGTAAAAGGGATGGCATCTTAACTGTCACTTACTAACTTCAGAAAGAAGATACTTGCTCCATTTAGGAAGTTCTGGTTTCAGAGTCACTTCCATTCTTGGATTTCCAGGTACAGTAATATGGCTGTGACAATAAGCTCTGGGTCAGAATGCTCAGGTTCAAATCTAGATTTTACTATTAACTTGCTGTATGATCTTGGGCACCCTAATTTGTTTCAATTCCTTCTATAAAAAGTGGATTATTATAATACCTCTCTATACAAAGATTAAACAATTCAAAACTTGCATCATACTAAGTGCTAAAAAACATTAGCTATTATTTGACTTGTATTTTTGCATTTAGTCATATGTATTATTCCTAAGCATTTTATTTCTGGGGAGAATAACAGTATTAGAAGAAAAGCTGAAGGGGGAAAAATGACAGCACAGCATGTTAGAGCATGCTAGCTATAAAGAAAAGTATGTAGTTTCTTTATAGAATTAGTCTGTTTGTCTGGATCCTGAAATATAGCTATAGTAACTTGTTGGCTCTTAATTTGGAAATAGAAGATGTATTTTAAGGTAAGAAAAAGAAAAATTATACTAAAAAAAAGAGAGTAGTAAAACCATGGGATAGGGAGCTCTGGTGGCCTAGTGGCAAGAAGCTATGCTTGCAATCCCAAATGCACATGATCCACCAGCTGCTCAATGGGAGAAAGATGAACAATCTCCTCCTGTGCGAATAACCGTCTCTGAAAACCTGTCAGAGGGTCAACTATTGGGTCAGTTCCATCTCTACAGTGCACAACAATAACAAGAGCATGGAATGACTGGATAATGGTAGGAAAATAGACAAGTTCAAAAATAGTGAGATGCATCTGCTCTTAAGAATCATCTATTCACTTTTTTCCAGATCTTGGTGACAGGATTTACACTTTGTTCATTTACCTATGGTAATATTAGGGATTTTATAACTAATGTTAGAGATGGATCTTGGCTGAAAGCAGAGAGTACCAGAGGAATGTCTATCTGTGTTTCATTGACTATGCAAAGGCATTTAACTGTGTGGATCACAAAAAACTGTGGCTGACTCTGAGAAGAATGGGGAATCCCAGAACACTTGATTGTGCTTATGCAAAACCTATACTTGGACCAGGAGGCAGGCATCAGAACAGAATAAGGAAACACTGTCTGTTTCAAAATCAGGGAGGGTGTATGCCAGGGATGTGTCCTATCTCCCTACCATTCAATCTACATGCAAAACAGATCATTCAAGGGGCTGGGCTCTATGAAGAGAAATGTGGCATCAGGATTGGAGGAAAATTCATCAACAACCTTGTTATGCAGATGACACAACCTTGCTTGCTAAAACTGAGGACAACCTGAAGCATTTGCTGCAGAAAGTCAAGGACTGCAGCCTTCAATATGGACTGAAGCTCAACATCAAGAAAATAAAGATTATCACCACTGGACCGATTGACAGCATTATGGTAGATAGTGAAGAGATTGAGATTGTTAGCAGCATTAGTTTGTTTGGCTCCACAATCAACACTCTTGGTACCAGCAGCCAGGAAATCAAAAGATGAACTGAATTGCACTGGGTACCTCTTCAGAGCACTGAAGAGCAACAATGTCATCCTGGAGAATGTCAGTCTGTGCCTGATCCAGGCCATGATCTTCACAATAATTTGCTATATGTCAGAAAGCTGGACAATGACTAGGGATGACAGAAAGAGAATTTATACCTTTGAGCTGTTGTGCTGGAGAAAAGTATTGACTATACTGTGGACTGTTAGGAGAACAAACAGGTTCATCCTGGAGAGGGTGAAAGAGGGCTGCTTCTTGGAGGCAAGGATTCTGAAGCTTTATCTGATATACTCTAGACATGTTGCAAGAAGTGACCAGTCCTTCGAGAGTGATATCATGCCCGGAAGTTTGGAGGAACAGTGAAAGAGAGGAAGACACTTGATAAGATGAATTGATTCAGTGACTGGGGTAATAAGGATAGGTGTATCAGAGACAATAAAGTTGGCACAAGATAGAGCAGGTTTCCGAACTATTGTACTAGGGTTGCTATGAGTTGCAAGTGACTTAATGTCACTTAACAACAAGAATCTAAAACAAGAGACTTAATGTTAAATCTATGTGATGTCTTCTTTAGTAGACAAATAAATATCTCAGAATAATGTCAAGAAAATGTGGTTTAATTGACCCCAAAATGATCTTATTTTCTTCACACCACCAGTGAAATTATTCTTTTACAGTATATGCTTAGAAGTAAAATACTAAAATATTAAACACTTACATGATCTTGTGCTTAAACACCACTTGATTATTTGCATCGCCTATTATTAAGCTAACATAGTGAAAATCTGGTGCTGTTCTTTTGATTTGTAGGTGTTGAAAGTTTCTTAAAATTATAGTTACTAATATTTCTGCAATGGCATCACTGTATCTTGCAACCTTTTAAAAAAGATAAACACAAAAAGCGTTAAAAGTAACAGTGTTCATATTCAGCTCCAAGCCAAGTTAAGGAGACCTTTATTTCTGAGGAGAAGAGCAAAACACTTAAACAGAAAACATTTTACCTGTTCCACTTTAAGTTCATATTTTGGTAGATGCATCACAGTTTCTTTGATCTGAGTTCCAAAAGGAGGGTGTCTATTTAAAATCTAAAAACATTATATAATTTTATTTTTACTATAATACCAAAAATTATTTTAAAACAATATTTTTAGAATCAGTAGTTTTAACCATACTCATCAACTTAATACTTCTTTAAGTTAAAATATTTATGACTATGAGATGAGAAGTAATATTTTAAATACAAATAAAGGTATACAAGGTAAGCTTTGAAAGTTGAATAGAGTTCATATAACATTAAGAATAAGTGAATATTACATACCAGTTCAAGTTCTCTTGCATTTGTTTCTTCTATTTTTTTAAAGGATGTCAAACCTGCATTTACCATTGCATTTGATAATGTTATGCCTGTGGAATATTAATCAAATAACAATTTTCAAACAATTAATTTTAAAGTAAATCTAAATATTTAACAAAGGGCAGTGCTTTGGTGGCCTAGTGGTAAGAAACTGCACTGCAACTCCAAAGGCATGTGGTTCAAATCCATCAGGTACTCCTTGAGAGAAGGATGGACAGTCCTCTCTCGTTTAATTTACTGTCTCTGAAAAACCGCTGTGAGTTGGTTCTGACTCAACGGCACATAACAACAACAAAATTTAAAACTAAATAAACATATATTAATGACTGTGTAAGTGAAAACATTAAAGATTCAGTTAAATAACTTCTAAAATCATCAAAAATAGTTTCTAGTTCCCTCCTCTGGGTTGTGGCATTCTTCAATTATTTATTTTTTTCAAAGGAAAGAAAATATATATTGACTTTTATGCTATAATTTGTCCCCACATTGGTCTCAATATTCTTCTTCTTTGTTTTTTTTTTTAAAAAAAATTGTAATTATAAATGGTTTGGTGTGGTTCTTTTGGGTTAAGAATCTTTATGCATAGATTTCTGCCTGTCAGCATATTCTGGAACATTTTCAGCTATTCTCAAAAAATTCTGTCTCTGTCTCTATTCTCCCTCTGGTACTTACAAAATATATATATTATTCTGTTTGATGGTATCCCACAGACCCCTTAAGCTTTGTTTGTAATTCCTCTTTCAGCTCCTCAGATTGTGACCTCTCCAATTGTGCTACCTTCAACTTAATTTTTTATTTCAATTCAAATCTGCTGATGTGCCCTTTCAGGTAATGATTTGTTTCTGTATACCATTCATTTATAGTTAAAAAAATTCTCTTCTTTGAAATTATTTTTTTGTTCTTTTCCCAATTCTCTTTGGCTTTTTTTGTTTGCTTTCTTTAATGCATTGTACATGATTACTACTCTTAAAAGTCATTGTCTAGTAATTCCAATTTCTGTTCTTCCTTGTCCATGGGTTTTTATCTCCTTTCCATGATCTGCTTGATTCATTCTTTTCCTCCACATTCATATGCTTGGTAATTGTTATATTAGGAACAATAAACTATTTTCCCATGATAGCACTGGAAATTAAACTCTTTCTCTAGAGTTTTCTACTTTTGTATATTATAACTACTATTGTAATGATTACTTAATTTATTGAAGATTGAGGTTTTCTTAAGCTCCAAATTCCACATGTAAATATACCTTTTATTTTCCTTTTCTTACTGATCCTATAGGCACAAGCCATCATTCCTTCATTTCTAAGTTCCTTGATTGAGGGTGCTATAAACCACCAAATTCTATGGTTTATAGCACCTGTTGTTGTCATTTTAATATTGGATATTGGAGAAATGTGACAAGCTACTGTGAAACTAGACTTTCTCTGTAAAGACACTGGTTATTGCCTTCTGTTGTCTCACCACCACCCCATCTGAGATTACTGGCTTATCTCAAATTTTTCTCTCTGTGAACACAGGGCATGGAAATCTGGTCCCTGGAACTACTCCTCCAAGAGCTTCACCTGTCAGAGACTTACCACAAGTTCCCCCACCCAGAAATGTCCATCATATAGCACACTTTTTGGAGTTCTGCATCAAAACTAACAGCTATTGTCAATTTAACAGGTGTCCACATTGTTTAGGAATTCAGGTGTGCTTGTTCATGTTATTTTTTTTAACTTTTTGGGATTTTTGTCTCTGCTGCACCTGCAACCCCACTCTGTATCTGTATGCCTGATCAACTGTTCTTGCCTGTGCTGGATGTATTCACTATGTCTCTCGGTCCTAGGCATCACTATTCATAAAGTTGGGTCCATACTGCATTCATCATGCTGTTTATTCCTGGAACTCATAGAGGTTCTGGACTTCTTTATGCCTTTCCAACATTTTCTTGGGCATTCCAGTGAGCACCATCTGCAGCCATCTCATGATACCTGTACTGAACTAACATGGAAGTAAGGTGAGGACACTCTTCTCTCCTGCTGGATGCTACCTTTTTTTTTTTTTTGACTCAGTATTTAGTGTTACTTTGGTCCTCTAGCCCATTAACAGGTGCCCTAGCAGTAAGAAACTGCATTACAATCCCAAAGGAACAGTCTGAATTCACCAGCTGCTCTTTGGGAGAATGATGGGCAATCTCCTCCCATGTGATTAAACTGCCTCTGAAAAGCCGCTCAAGGGTCAGCTATGGGTTGGTTCCAACTTGATGGTACTCAACAACAACAACTAATCTAGTTCCCAAATCTCACTACAAGCTCCTATTATCTAAATATGGAACTTTTGCCATTATGAGAAGAATAAAAATTTGGTTTCCTAAGAGTTCTGCAGGATCCTACCTATCAGGAATTTCTGCCCTACTTTGATATTTCTTTCACTAGCCAATCCCCTTTTTAATCCTAATTTCCAGGCTGTCCTTGTATGTCCTGTACCAACCATAGATTTCAAACATCACGGAAATGAAATAAGACATTACAAAGCAACTGGGAGACTTGTGTTGTCCAAAGGATCAAAACAAACACACAAGAATCTACATCACTACTGAATTGGTTCTAGCTCACAGTAACCTTCCACAAATCTGTAAATCTTTCTCATCTTTCTTCCAAGAAACAATTGGAATATTTGAACTGTACTAGTTAGAAGTCCAGCTTACACATTCATGATCAATTATACCACTAAGGCTCTTTATCTAAAGGATGTTATTGTTAGCAAAGAGTTGGAAACAACCTAAGTGCCTATCAACAAATTAATGGGTAGAGAAGCTGTGGTCCATTCACACAGTGGAATACTATGCTGCATTGAAAAACAAGGAACTCATGCAATATTATTCAAAATGGGTGACCCTGGAGGACATTATGCTGAGTGAAGTATCTGTCACAAAAGGTGCATAGTGCCACTGTTGTAAAACGGGACTGACATCGGGGTTGGGGGAGACTGAGAAAGATGGGTTTTAATAATTACACTGCATTGAAACAGATGAAGGAGAAAACTGTTTAAAAGGGATATGTGATTAGGTATTAATGTCCTGACAGGAGTCCAGAATGAAGGCTGCATAGTGGAGTGGACTTTGGGAGAGGGATTGTAAAACAACAAAAGAATTTTTCTTTTACTTTTCAAAGAGAAGAATGAACTGGGGGAGGGGGCAGGAGAAAAGAACAACAACGAATAAATGGAAATCCAAAGTCTCTGAAAATGTAAAAAAAAGGATGTTATTGTTATGTACTGCTGACTCATAACTGATTCATAGCTCCAGTGGGTTTTCAGAGGCAGTAAATCTCACAGGAGGAGATTACTCATCTTTCTCCAACAGAGCAGCTTATGGATTCAAATTGATAGCCTTTGAATTGGCAGCATAATTCTTTATCCTTAATTGCTGTTGTTGAATACTGTTGAGTCAGGACCAACCCATAGCTCACCCATTCGCGGGTTTTTAGAGGCATAAATCACACAGGAAGAGCCTATCCATATTTCATCTGGTGGATCCAAACTATATACCTCGAGAGTTGGCAGCACAGTTCCTTACCTCTTAGCCATGAAACAAACATCATTTTTTAATTTCATCAACTTATATACAAACTTGTAAAATTAGTAAAACTTGGAATAGCAACTATATTTCTTGAGTTCTCACTCTCTATGGAGGTGAAATAAAGTACAGTTACAAAGCCAAAGTTACCACATTGGAAAACTCCAAAGTGCTTTAGTTATATCCCAATTTTTGTAAATACACCTCATAAAGTGTATTTATCTACCTAGTATACAATCTAATTAGATTCACTATAAATTTATTGTTGTTGTGGACATGTGTCATCAAATAAAAGATAACTCATAATGACTATATGAACAATAAATCTGAACCCAGGCCTTTCCTGGACCATCCTCATCATCTCTGGCACATTTGATCCCATTGCTGCAGTCCCTGTGTCAAATCTATCCCATTCAGGGTATTCCTTCATTTGCCAACCCTCTACCTTTCCAAGCATGATGTTCCTTTCCAAGGAACAGCCTTTCCTAGCAACTTGACCAAAGTGTGTGAGATGAAGCTTTGCCATCTTTGCGACTAAGGAGCACTCTGGCAACACCTTCTCCAAGACGTTATTTGTTTTGGTGGTACATGGAATTGTCAGTGCTCTTCTCCAACACAACTCAGAGGCATCAGTTCTTCTTCTGACATTCTTATTTACTGTCCAGCTCTCAGATGCATAGTAAGTGACTGAAAAGACCATGACTTGAATCAGGAACACTTTAGTCTTAAAACTGGAATCACTGCTCCTCAGGTCTTTAAAGAGGTCCTAGAGAGCAGACTTTCCCAGTGCAATATATCTTTTGATGTCTTGGCTGCTTGTGTCAAGGGTATTAATTGTACATCCAGGCAAAATGAAATCATTGACAATTTCAATCTTTTCTCCATCTGTCATGATGTTAATAATTTGTCCAGTGGTGAGAATTTTTGTTTTCTTGATATTGAGACATAATCTATCTCTTTAATCTTCTGTAGCAAGAATTTAAAGTACTCCTCATTTTCAGCAAGTTAGGTTGTATTATCAGCATAATACAGGTTGTTGATGAGTCTTCCTCATACCCTATTGTCCCATTGTTTTTGTGAGAGTACAGCTCCTCAAATGGCTTCCCCCAATAAAGATAGAATAGGTATGGAGAAAGGCTACAGGTACAATCTTTTATCTATAGGATCTGTATGAATATCAGAAATAATATCCTCCTGTTATTTCTTAAAGAGAGATCTGGTGGCTTAATGGTAAGGAGTTGCACTGTCAACCCAAAGGCATGAAGTCTGAATCCTCTAGTTGTTCCATGGGAGAATGATGAGCAATCTCCTCCATGTGATGTACTGCCTCAGAAAACCAACTAGAGAGTCAACTATGAGTAAGTTCCAACTCAGTGGCACATAATAATAACAGCATTATTAAAAGGGTAAAAATTATGATAGAAGTAATTGACTTTTTTTTGTAATAAACTAGGAATGATGGACCTGCTAGTTCTTTAACACTGAAATTACAAAATATTGTTCATGACAATGGAAGAGATAGCATCTCAAAGTAATACTGTCAATTACTAAAATAAAATTTTATTCTTGATTAAAGAAAAAAATTAAGTGAGAATACTAATTTAATTTTTTCATGTACTCTTCACTTGATTTCAAATGAAATCTTTTAAGCAAAAACAAATTAAAATGAGATTTTCAAGATACAGTATAGTGCTTTATTTGTGCCTACAAACCTGGGTTTTCATTAAAAGTTCACAGTCACAGTAATTTTCTGAACAATAAAATAATGAATTACAGACACTGATAAGTTAGCTATCTGTATTTAATACCTACCAATTTTTTCCAGCTGTTTGGATACATGCAGAGAGTTTTCCCAAAGTTTACACCGAAAACATTTAGCTAAAATCAAACTGTTAAGTAGTACGGCAAAATTCTTCTCTTGAGCAGCCACAAAATCTGACAACCCTGGAAGAAAGTTTCTCATATTAAATCTAGTATACTAATTTGCTATGGAAAATTATAGATATTCCACTGTCCCATAACATACATCTTGTAATTCTTGAGCCATTTCTGAAAATCTTTGCTGTATCCTGTGTTAAAGCAAAGTCTTGCATGGGAATGCATCCTAGCTGAGCTTGAATAAGACTGAGGAGGAAAAAAAAAAGAATCAAAATTTAATAGCATTTTACATCATTGACTGAAATCTTTCATCTTCAAATTTCTGTCTTGATTTCTCTGACTGGAGGCATCATTACAGTTCTATCTTTTTAACAGTTCTATGTTTTTAACTTCAAACATCTACATATTTGGCCCTTATTTTTCTGATTGTCTTTATTCACTTAATCTTTCTTTGTGTCAAAATTCCCACTTAGTCTCAGTACTCTTATTATAACCACAACATTGCTAAACTGAAATATTTTCAACTCAGCAAAGACAGGCTGTTGTCATATTCTTCATCAATACATCTCTATTTTTTCTATTTCTTTTCGAGGTACAATATAACTTATTTAACCAACAATATAAAACAATATAGCCTATTTAAATGTTAATTAAGTTCATGCTAAGTGTAATGTACTACATTATGGCTGAAAATTCTGATCTGCTGAATGGAGAAAAGATTTACATTTTCAAGGATTTTACTCCATTTGGATCCACAATAAACTCCTATTAAAGCAATAGTCACAAAGTAAAATGTGCTGTTGAGGACCTCTTTAAAGTACTAAAGATCAAGATATTAAAGAATAATTACAAAATGCACCTGATCCCAGTTATGGTACTTTCAATTGCTTCATATGCATGTCTAAGTGGGACAATGACTAAAGAGCGAAGCACTGTTGTCTTTGAATTGTGGTGCTGATGAAGAATCTTGAATATACCACTGATTACCAAAAGAATACACAAATAGCCTTGAAAGAAGTGTAGTCGTGGTGTTCTTTGGGACAAGTATGATGAGACTACATTTCACATACTTTGGGTACATCTTCAGGAGGTATCAGTCCTTGGAAAGGGACACTGTGCTTGGAAAGGAGGCTGGTCAGAGAAGGAGAGGAAGGCTTTGAATGATATGAATTGACAGAGTGATTGCATCAATAAGCTAAGCACAATAGAGATTGTGAGAATAGTACAGGACCAGGAGGGCTCTGATCTGCTGAACATAGGATTGCTATGAGTTGGAAGTTGACTTGACAGTGACTAACAATCATTCTAATTGTAAGAATTAAAAAGAAATTATTATTATTATTATCAAACCACAAGGGTTTATTATCTTGTGTAAAATAAATCAGTCAGACATTCCAGAACTTCATGTAATGGCTCCAAAAGTCACCAGAGGTTCAGATACTTTTATTCTTGTTCTATCATGTATGGCTTCCATTCTCAAGTTATGTAATGGTCTAAAAGCTAGAGCTTCAGTCATACATATTCATTCCACATAGGATGTAGGAATAATAGGAGGAACATTATGACCTATCTCTCAACTGATCCCTTTGAGGAATTAACAGCCTTTAAGGAAGATTAAACCCCATGTCAGTCCTGTTTTATAACAGTGGTGTTAATGCACTATTTGTCCTTTTGTGACTGAGGTATTTCACTCAGCATAATGTCCTCCAGGGTCACCTATGCTGTATAATAGTTTACAACTTCCTTGTTTTTCAGTGCTCTGTAGTATTCCATTGCGTGAATATACCATAGTTTTCCCATCCATTCATGTATTAATGAGCACTTGGGTTGCTGGGGGAATCTAAGAGGGATAAATAATGAACACTGCATTGGAAGAGATGAAGGAAATAACTGTTTAAAAGGAATATATAATTAGGCATTATTTGTATAACAGTCCAGAATAAGAGATGTATTGCAATGTGTACAGACAAAGGGGGAGCAGAGGGAGGACATTACGGAACAATGAATATTTTTTTTTAAAAAGAAAGTGAACTGGAGTGGGGGTAGGGAGAACAATATGCCAGAATGAATGAATGAAAATCCAACTTTTCTGTAAATGTTCATAAAAATCACAATTTTTTTATAAAAGGGAAGATAAACACAACAATTGTGTGTACAATTAATTAATTGCTCAAATTATAGTCACTGGCCACAAAATGCTAAAAAGGAGACTGGCAAAATCTTTTTTCTGTGTAGGTGAGAACAGAAGAGTCTAGTGGTTTCTGCCACAGGAATATACAACAATCAGTACAGTATACCAGATATAAAGCAACCAATATAGTACATATTGTGATGCACACAGTCAAAAGACTTTGTATAGTCAATGAAACAGATAGATATTCCTCTGGATTTTTCTGCTTTCTGCCAAGACCCATCTAATATTAGCTATAATATCCCTAGTACCATAGTCCCTTCTAAACCAAGCCTGCACATCTGGCACTTCTCTGATGATGTGTTGCTCCAGTTGTTTTTGGGTAATTTTCAGCAGAATACTGCTTGCCCACCAAGGATGTATTCTGTGTCCACACTTTTTCAATCTGTATGCAGAACAGATCATCTGGGAGGCTGGGCTATATGAGGAAGAATGTAGCATCACGTTTGGAAGAATATTCATCAACAACCTGTGTTATGCACATGACAGAACCCTACTTGCTGAAACTAAAGAAGGCCTGAAGTGCTTGCTGCAGAAGGTCAAGGATTGCAGCCTTCAATATGAATTGAAGCCCAATATCAAGAAAACAAAGATTCTCACCACTGGACCAACTGGCAACATCATAATGGATGGTAAAGAGACTGAGATTGTTAACAGTTTTAGTTTACTTGGCTCCACTGTCAACACTCTTGGTACCAGCAGCCAGGAAAACAAAAGATGAATTGCATTGGGAAAATCGGCTGTCAGGGACCTCACCAGAGTACTGAATAGCAGTGATGTCAAGCTGGAGAAGAAGGTGTGCCTGGTCCAGGACATAGTCTGTGCAATTGCCTGCTATGTGTCGGAGAGCTGGACAATGACTAGGGATGATAGAAAGAGAACTGACACCTTTGAGCTGCGGTGCTGGAGAAGAGTATTGAATATATACCATGGACTGCTAGAAGAACAAACAGGTTTGTCCTGGAGAGGGTGAAACTGGGCTGCTCCTTGGAGGCAAAGATTCTGAAGGTTCATCTGACATACTGTGGGCATGCTGCAAGGAGGGACCAGTCCTTGGAGAGGGACATCATGTTTGGGAGGGTGGAGGGACAGTGCAAGAGAGGAAGACCCTCAATGAGATGGAGATTCAGTGATTGGGGTAATGGGAGTAGTAGTGTCAGAGACAATGAGGTTGGCACAGGACAGACCAGGGTTTAGGGCTCTTGTACATAGGGTCTCTATGAGCAGCAGGTGACTTGATGACACACAACAACAACACAGTACAATAAATATTCAAGGAATGGCTATTATTACTAATAGTTTTTTATTATTATTACTAATAGATTTGCTCTCAGCTTGCACAGATAAAGACTTCTGTCCTAGGGCAACTGGAAACTGTTCAGCGTAAGTCTGCATACATAAAAAAAGCAGAAATCCTCAAAATAAAGAGGAGTCAAAGGCTCATTATGAAGCTGTTCAACTCTCTTGAAAAAAAGTTATTGCAAGTCACTTATATTGTCTAAACCAAAATACTCAAAGAAACAACTTATAAATAGGATCAAGATGGCATATAAAATTGATGGCTTAGACTATCTTCAAATCTATGAATAAAAATAAATCTGGAGGAGATCATGAATAATACAGAAAACTTCTTTCATAGCAAGCTCTTCAAGTCCTCCTCATTTTCAGCAAGCAAGGCTGTGTCATCCACATAATACAGGTTATTGATGAGTCTCCCTTTGACCCTGATGGCACATTCATTTATCTGGAGTCCAACTTCTAGAATAATTTGCTCAGAACATAGACTGAATGTATCAGGAATGTATCCTCTTTAGCTAGAGAAGATTTTTGTATGTGAAACATGGTCCTATTGCATACAAATAATCAGAATGATCTATAGCTTGGACAACTGATATCTTTTTCTCAGTCATATTTCTTCAGAAATTCATATGCCACTTCAAATGATAGAGATATTAGATCTTAACTAGACTTACCTCATTTTACAAAGTTGGTGGAGTATATGAAAAGAATGTGGCATCAGCATCAGATGAAAACATGGACTATAGCTTTCAATATAGATTGCAGCCCAATATTAAGAAATAAAAATTCTAATAGGCAACATCAAAATAGATGGAGAAAAGACTGAAACTGTCAATGACTTAATCTTACTTGTATCCTCAATCAATCTCATTGGTACCAGGATTCAGGAGATGTATTGACCTGGGAAAGTCTACAGTCAAGGACCTCTCCAAATTATTAAGGAGTAATGATGCCAGTTTGAGGACAAAGGTGTGCCTGATTCAGGCTATGATCTTTTCAATCATTAGTTATGCATCTGAAAACTGGAAAATGAATAATGATGATAGAAAAAGAATTAATGCCTTTGAGTGTTGGTCTTGGAGACGAGTACTGAACATTCCATGGACTTCCCAAAGAACAAACAGATATTTCTTCAAGAAGGTACAGCCAGAGTGCTTCTTTAAGGCAAAGATGATAAGCTAAGTTTCGCATACTTTGGGCATTTTTCTAAGTGAGGCTATTTCTTAGAAGGGGGCATCATACTGGGAAAGGAAAAGGGTCAGAGAAAGAGAGGGATCCTCAACCTGACGGACCAACACGGTGACTACAGCAATGGGCTCAAGAACATTATGAGAATGGCAGAGGACAGAAGAGGCTTTAGATCGGTTATTCATATAGAGTCATGTTGAGTCATACTCAATGGTACTTAAAATCAACAATAAGCTAAAGAAGAAGAAATTGTCTAAGTAGTTTTATTAAGTCACACAAAAAATCATTATTTTTTAAAAAAAGAAAAAATCTTTGGCTAATTATTTTTATTGAGACACACGAAAATGTTACAATCTGAAAGTATATAATTTAAATAAATATATTCTAAAATAAATCTAAGTGCTCAGAAGCCCACGTATTTACCATAGCAGAAAAGAACATCATTGCATTTCTTACTACAAACTGACTTAAAAGTCACTACAACTTAAACCATAACTTTAGTTTACTCTTCCAATGACGACTCCTCTATACAACATTTCCATTCTTGGTAGAATAATCATCCCATAAATGTGCCTAAATTCAGATTTTTGCTTTCCCTATTTGCTTCTCCTAGAATTAGGTGGTCAACAGATATTAATTAAATGTGCTTTTCTATTGCCCTTAATTTTTACACATTTTGTATCATTCAATTTAACTTAAAATCTCCTGAGGATGAGGAGCTTTGTCATCTGTCTATATTCCCTATTCCTTAATAGAATACTCTTTCAATGATTTCTGGCAGAAAATAACTTACAAATGAAAATTTATAAAGTCTTAACTGTTCTTGGAAATTAACATATGTATTCTGATTTCTTATTTTTTATGTAAATATGCTCTATATTAGGGGAAATAAATTTTTGGTATTAAGGAAAACAAATTTAAGGTAAAATTTAAAACTGTATAATAACTTTGATAAGTATAAATCTATAGTAAGTATTTTTAAGACATTTAACAATTATCTTTACCAATTGACTTTCATTTCTCTTGTCTTAATTTTTCCTTTCATTGGAAATCTGTAAATAAAAACACAGGCATAAATTTTATCATTATTTATTTTAGCTAAATCAATCTTTTAAAATAATTTGAAACCTATTACTTTTTGTACCTGATAGTTACTCGATGTGGATCTTTATTTAAAGTATTCAGTGTTTTCTTTTCATTTATCCTTAACTGGACATCTGCAAATTCCTTGCAGCTGGCTATCATTGTGACCTAAAAAATTTTAGCATTAGTCTAACTAACTAGGCATATTTTCCCTTCTTCATTTCATCTTCTTTCTCCTTATTTACTCATTTGTCCATCTGGCCTGGAACATCACAGTTTTTCTCAAGTGGCATAGTAACAGTGTTAAAAATCTCTATGAGTCATACTCGACTAGACAGCAACAACAGCAAGGAGAAATATTCCGTATATCATGGTCATGTATATAAATTTGGGAGACACAGCCATTATTAGGAATTATTT